TCGGTCCTTTAAAGTTTAAAGTCCCATCTGCCTGTTCCAGTGGGCTTGGGCTTTCAAGATCCCATGACACTCTTGGAAAAGAGAAGGGAATTTCTCCCCCTTATGGTGGCCAATAATCCTCCAGATAAATTACTCATTCACCTCATGGCTGTTTGTGTGCCACAAAGAATCAACAAAGGTGCTGCATTACAAATACATTGGATTATTATCTCAACCCAATCCTGCCCCTTCATGCAAATTCTAAGGAAGAGTCACTGGATAGCAATGAGGAATCACAACGACAACAACAACAACAAGATTGCATTTATAGAGCGCCTTTCACGTCAGGAGGACGTCCCAAGGCGAATAAGAAACTCTGGTTGACTTTCCCCCAACCTCAGAACAAAAGGGCCAATTGTTGCACCCTCACCACGGCCCTGAGAACTAATTCATTCATTGCAGACCAGGGTTGGGAAAGGAAAGCGAAGGAGCTCACATTGGACTGTTTAGTTTAGAGCCATCTATCTTCTTGCTTGCTATAAGAAAACAGATGTCACAGGAAATTGCTGGAATTTTTTTTTGTTGCTTTCAACGGGAGGGGGGGCGCCTGGGGAATATAATTGTCGAGATGCAAGACGTATGAAGAACCGCTTTGTGATGGAATGTTTCCAAGGAATTATTGCAATCGAGAACCGTTGGGAAGCAAGAAGCCGTGTCTTCTTTTTTAATACTGATTTAATAATAAAAATAAATAAAAAAGAAAATATAATTTTCCCACCAGTGTTTCGCAACACTTCTAGTCCTCTGCCATCTCTTTCCCGTGAGTAATATGCGGCGATCAGAGGTGATCCAAGGATACCAAGGCAAAGGTCTGGTCCCATACATCTCCTCTCTCCCCCCCAACCCCCCCCCCCCCCTCCAGTGAACCAAGTTGTGTGGATGTACAGTAACCCATCACAGACAGTGAAATTGACACGTATTCACTGATCCACAGTCGAGTTGCATCAAATCATTCAGTCTACACTAAAGACCCTCTGTCTGTCTGTCTCTCTGTCTGTCTCTCTGTCTGTCTGTCTCTTGCAATCCCCAATTTTCTTCTCAAAAGGAGGAAGATGCCAATGTATTTACAATACATCATTGCAAACGTCAAAACGTTTCTCTCTCCCAACCCCCAACCCCCCCTCACCCAACCCCCACCCCAACCCCCCCCCAACCCCAACCCCCCCCCCCAACCCCCAAACCCCCCCACCCTCCAACCCTGTGCTTGAGATCCAACCCTCTGCATCGTTCAGCAAAGCAAAGCAGAACCCAACAGCCAGAATACCCTCAAAAAACCCGACACCTTTAATATAGCAACGACCGAACAAACACATCAGCCCTTCACCCCCACAAACACACACACACACACACAGAGAGAGAGAGAGAGAGAGAGAGATGCACAGTACCGTCTTCTCCCAAGTTTTCTTTGCTCCGCAGATATCTGCGAATATTATCATCAGTCTCTTGCATTTGGCACAACACAAAGCGGATCTCATGGGTTTAAACACCACCAAAAAAAAATGGCACAACAAGTCACTGATACTTACGGTGCTGATGTGATGCTGATCACAAGGCTTTAAATGTTGGAGGAAGAGATCTTTCTTTTTTTATTTGCACAGCCCTAACGTGTTAGTTTAGCAAATGTTTTTTTTCTCTCTCTCTCTCTCTCTGGTCTAACCCTTTCTCTGCAAATGTTTTTTTCTCTCTCTCTCTCTGGTCTAACCCTTTCTCTGCAAATGTTTCTCTCTCTCTCTCTGGTCTAACCCTTTCTCTGCAAATGTTTTTTTTTCTCTCTCTCTGGTCTAACCCTTTCTCTGCAAATGTTTTTCTCTCTCTCTCTCTCTCTGGTCTAACCCTTTCTCTGCAAATGTTTTTTCTCTCTCTCTCTCTCTCTGGTCTAACCCTTTCTCTGCAAATGTTTTTTTTCTCTCTCTCTCTCTCTGGTATAACCCTTTCACTGCTCTTGACCCACTCTGTCAGATCAAACGTTAATCTGTTCAGGGCACAGCCTCACACACTCACTCACACTCACTCACTTTCTCACACACATACACAACACCACCACCAACACCAACACCACCACCAGCGTCATTTTCCATATAAGGCACTGAATAAAAACCTCGTTAAGGAAAAGAAATTTCACCGGATCGTAAAATGCATCAACTGACAGTCCCCCATCGTATAAACAGGAGATTGGTTGTACAGTGTGAGGTGGGATCACGTCCAAGGAAGGAGCTGACACCTCCACTGCCTGTGCCCAGTGCAAACCTGACTGTTGAGTTCCTTATTCTGAATATTGCACTCACTTACTCTCTGTCTCTCACACTCACACACTCTCTCACACACTCACTCACTCACTCACTCACTCACTCACTCACTGGTGTTAGCATTACCTCCTGAATGTGTTTGTGCAAATGTATGATCCTCTCTCTTTGTCTTGTGCCTCAGGTGTCCTTGAAGACAAGACGTGAAACTGCTCAGCCCTTTGCATTGTGTGGATTTTTCAGACGAGTTTCATCGCTCTAAAACCTTGTTGAAGGCTGTGGTTCCAGATTTACACACTGGCACTACTGTATGCACCGCAGATATTTTATTTCAGTTCTCTTTTTTTAAAAAAAACCAACTTAAACAACTAGGCTGAGTTGCGGACGTGAAAATATTTTTCATGTCACTCCTCGTCACTTCTGCCAAGATTCCAGCAACGACAACAATATCAACGAGAAAAATTACATTTGTATAGCGCCTTTCATGTCGGGAGGATGCCCTCAAGGAGCTGGCAACAGTTCCCTTTTCTTTATGACCTTGGAACTGGTTATGTTTGTCAGTCGCTGTGTATATGTCCCAGGCATTAAATAATGAACCCTAATTAATTATTCTGCACATTCTAACTTGCAATGGCATGTGCCGTGCTATCTCAAGCGTTCTTAAAAAGCAGTTAATGAGGATTAATGTTACAACAGTTTCTAACGGGATTCCTTAACAAGTAAACTGAAAAAATACATCAACTCGCTTAACTCATGGAAAGTCTGCTCAGATGCAATTCCTTATAAGAACAAAGTTCCTATGAGACCCCGGAGTAGACATCATGATGCTGACATTTCACATCAGGTGGAATGTCTCAAATCGCTGCCCAGGATTTCCTGTAAAGTGTAGTGACTATGTATTTGGTGAGGAAACTAGGCTGTCAATTGGTGCCCAACAATTTCCTGCAAACAGCAACGAATTGAATGAACAACCTTATCTGGGGGATTATTAGCCTGGACACTGGGAGAATCTCCCTTCTCTTTTTTTCGAGTAGTGCTAAGCTATTTTCATTAACTACCTGAACAGACAGATGGGACATTGGTTTAATATCTCATCTGAAGGATGACACCTCTTGACAATGCAGCATAACCCCAGCACTGGAGCTTGAAAACCACAACCCCTTACGCTTTATTTACAACAAAATACAAAATGTAGCAACGCTTTTGTCACAATAACACTGCATCTGTTGTTCAGCTGTCCGTGATTCGCAAACACTCCAATACGTCGCCAGTCATGAGTCGTACAAAAAAAAAATGATCCTTGCATTTGCTTATAGCGCTTTTCACATCTTCTAGATGTCTCAAAGCACTTGACAGAATAGTCTGTAAAGTGAATTGACCGTATATGTGTGGGCGAAACGCGGCAGCCAATTGCACACAGCAGTGTCCCACAAACAATCGTGGGTTGAAGTGACTGAATTATTAATATTTTTTTTCTTGAGGGCTTATTATAAGGCGTGTGGAGTAAGGAAACTTGCTCAAGGTTTCGCCCTGCCGGGAATCGAACCCACGTCACTCGCTTGTGCGGTGAGTGCTCTAACCACTGAGCTACAGGACTCCAAATAAGAAGTCAAAGTACCCTCAGAGGGAACGTTGTCAGAGTCAATATGGAAATCTGTGACACGAAGGATACAAAGCTAATAGTGTGGTAAAGGATTTCCCTAAGACAAAGTTATCATACTGATAGCGCTGTTTGCATAGATTAAAAGTGGCCTTCAGAAAAACAGCAACACCTAATGGTGCCCTTAGGCAAGTGTCGGAAATCAACATTAATATTTCTGTTTCAAAGAACGAGTATCATTGCAACTCAGAAGTCTTTTTTCTTCCTATTATTGCGGTAAGTTAATCAACATTTATAACTTTTTATAATTTTTATAGGCTCCGCAACCCTAGCACACCCATCCTGGCTTGGCTCTCAGTGGCTCCCACCCCTACTCCAGCCACTTCACTCCACCTTTTAAGGTTCTTCTGAAATCCCTCTGCATCACCCTCCTCACTGTTTCGGAAGCCCATCTAAATACACATCTGTTTGACTGTGCCTCAAGAGTGCTAAGGCGCTGTTATCAAATGCAAGGATTATTATTATTATTATTATTATTATTATCAATGTTGTTGCTGTGAGTACTTCCCAATGTTTATTTGGTTAATCCCCCTCACTCATCCCTTCAGTGGGTAAATACTTTTCCACCTCTCTGGGCTTGGGGAGGGGGAGAGAGAGAGAGAGGTGTTGTGGAGTCCTGCAGCTCAGTGGTTAGAGCACTCGCTTTGCAAGCGGGAGACCCGGGTTCAATCCCAGGCAGGTCAGGGCGAAAACTCGGGCAAGTTTCCTTACTCCACCCGCCTAATAATAATAATCCCTCCAAAAACAAAAAGAATAATAAATCGGTCATGTTCAATCCACGACTGTTGGCGGGACACCGCTGCGCACAATCGGCTGCCGCCTTCGCCCACAACTATACGGTCAATTCACATTACAGCGTGTTCCGTGAAGCGCTTTGGGACGTCCTCCCGACGCGAAAAGCGCTGTATCAAATGCGAGGATTATTATTATTATTATTATTATTATTATCATCATAACAACAACAGGAGAGGAAAGAGAAAGTGAAGCGTTGAAAGCACTGGAGGCTGATTGACGTGTGGTCGGACCAGCAGGAACCTGGTGGAGCGGAATCAGAGGGGAGGGAGAGGGAGGGCTCTGATCACATGAGAGGCTTCGTGTCCCCCTGGAGGCTCTCAGCTCGGTCTGGATCTGTTTGGCACCGGGGGATGGCTTTGCCCCTTTGCTCCCTGTGCGGGGCTTCCCGACGGTGCCCGAGGCTGTTGGCTGCTGTGGCTGTGGCTGTGACAGTGCTCTGCGTTTGCAGCTCCGGCTCCGCGTCTCCCAGCGCAGCCCATCATGGCTTTACGCGGAAGACAGGTCAGCCAAGTCCTCACTGGGACTGGACCAGTCCTGGCCCTTAACTCAATGCTCACCCCTCACCCCACACACCCACCCACACACACACCCACCCACACAGTGAGGGAGGGGGCTTGAGGAGTGGGGGTGGGGAGTGGTGGGAGAGAGATCAGTGGGGAAACTGGTAACCTTTGGAGTTTTCCAGTTTCCTGAAACGTACATCAGGGTTTGTCAAGTGTGTGGACATTGTGTGAGTGTGTGTGTGGACATTGTGTGTGTGTGTGTGTGTAGTGTCTTGTGTGTAGGAACCTGCATTAGTGAGCGAAAATGTGCGTCACTTTAAATCCAGAGAGGTGTCACACCCACGTTTCGAAACAAGACTTTAACGCGCGCCTTCTCCGCCTTTCTCGGAGGTACTTGGCAGGACGAAACCTTGGGCAGGTTTTCGTAAACCGCACGCGCCTCGGGTTACCTCGCAGTAAGCGGATGCTGTGATGGGAGGACTGTTGGGTGGGTGTTCTGAAGGGACGAGGTCAGATGAGCCAAAGAACCCGTTTTCATCCAAACCGATCTTGTGCGCATCTCCAAATCCAACTTGGCTGACATTTCAGTAGGTGTTTTGCTCAGTGACATTTGGTAATACGATTAGAATGGGGGAAGTCTCACTTCCATTGTCAATTGCACTAGATTTTCAGTCCAAATGACTTTAAAGCCTTTAGCCAAGAGGAACTTGAGTGGTTCCTTTATGAATCTATTGTATTTGACCTCACTTAACTTCATTTGTCAGTGATCTGCAGATTTCTCGATAACAATTCTCTGCTTCCTTCCCTTCAGTCAGTTATTTAAACAACCTGATTACAACGATGAATTGATAAAGGAGCTTCTTTATTGCCTTTTATGTCACTGTTCGGCGAAGAGATTAATGTTCTCAACGATTGCTGCTGCTGCTAACTACAACAGTCCATTTTTTTTTGCAGGCTTCAATCAGAGGAACTGAATGTTTAAATCAAGGCCCATTTGAAGGTCTGACATATCTTTTCTCTGCAGAGAAGTCGAACGTGCTCCTCATCGTTGCCGACGATCTCCGTACAACTCTGGGATGTTACGGAGATCAGATAGTGAAATCGCCAAACATTGACCAGCTTGCCTCCAGGAGTGCTCTTTTCAAAAACGCATTTGCCCAAGTAAGTGAGTTAGTAAGCGGTTGTCATCCTTTCTGTGTTTGACGGGTGAAAATGCTGTATGCTGTGCATTTATACGGCCATAATTTTGTGATTTCATTCGATACAGCTGACCTTCCTAGATTACTAGAACAAGCATTTTCATTATTTACAAGGCACTTGTTTGACTTTTTTTAGAAGAGGTAAAAAAGCTGGCGAAATGGGCATTAAACATTTTTTTGTATAATTAACATTTTTGTGGATAATATCTCAAGATCTTTTTGCCTGGATGCGGGAGAGCAAAGGAAAGCACAGAACCCAGTTCAGCTTGGATTTAAAAAAAATTGATGTACAATGCAGTACAGTTGAAGAGGGTTGCAAATCAATGTTATTTAAATTAGGTTAACGTTTTACCCGGAGGAGTGTTAACGCACATTTTATGAAGTGAGATAAAGTGTGGCTATTTTTTTAACGCTGTTTTAGCAAGCTCTATGCGGACCCAGCAGGACATCATTTTTAACCAGCCGACGGCCTGACACAACTAGACTCTTTGACCATGGGTCTTACTGGAGGGTCCATGCTGGGAACTACACCACACTTCCTCAGTACTTCAAGGAGAATGGTTACTTAACCATGTCTGTAGGAAAAATCTTTCATCCAGGTAAGACTGCAGCCTATGTTAATCAATCATTTAATATTACAGTATCTTTAAACTATCTTGCGTCAAAGGAACAATTGGTCCCGCCTTGCTGTGGACAAGCAAAATGTTCTATAATGCGGACCCTTGTTAACTGAAATGTTCCTCGTCTTTCAGGGATTGTGTCCAATCACACTGATGATTATCCTTACAGCTGGTCTATTCGACCATTTCATCCTTCAACGGAGAAATATAAAGGGGCTAAGGTACTGACCAAATTCCCAAATTGTGACATGTTAACAGAAGTTGAGAAGGTCTGCGTAGCTGGAAGGTTGTAGCAATATGAAAGAATTGGAACTCTACATTAATGGCATCGGGCCGCGAGATGGAACAAAGTAACTGCACACGTTGATCATGACAGATACAGACAAGATACCCAACTTTAATTCAGAAATTGCTCCATTATCTTTTCCCTCAATTTTCTGCCATTCCCACGAAAACAAGTTTTGGTTGCTTTCACCATCTCTGGTAGGCTTAGCTTTTCGCTTTACCAGAGCTGGGTGTTGATCACTTTCAACCTGTCCCAAATTGCTATCTCAGAAGGGGGGTGGTTCAGCTGACAGAGTCCTCAAGACTTTGGTTGATTGGTTTTGCACTTATGAAAGACATTAGCTCAGCTTCTCTATAGACGAATGGGCCATATTTTGGTATCAAAAAGAGATTTATTTTCTGATGTTAGAATAATTATTCTTACCCAACAGACTCTTGTATCAAAATGCTTTGTTTTTAATGGGTTTAAAAGTGACCACTTGAGACCAGTAAGTGTACAGTGGTAATGAATGGTTAAGTATCCACTCCACTTGTTGTAATATGGCCAGCAAAGCACTCCTTTTTCAGTACACTGAAAATGTAATTTTTTTTTCCTTGCATGAAAGGCACAAAAATGAATTGTTAATAGTTCAAGTGATATCAATTGTGATGGTACATTTACTGTTGAATATTGTTACATAGATAACTTTATTAACTCGGCTTCTGTTTGGTCAGGTCTGCAAAGGCCCCGATGGTGAAAAACATGCTAACTTGGTTTGTCCAGTTAACGTTGAGGAAATGCCAGAAAAGACACTGCCTGATATACAAAGTACTGAAGAGGCAATTAAGTTAATGAAGAGCGTGAACAATACCAAACAACCCTTCTTTTTGGCTGTTGGCTACCATAAACCACACATTCCACTGAAATATCCTCAGGTAAGAATAGAATTGTATAATCCAGGCCTGTGCATTTGGGAGGGAGCCATATGTAAAACCAATGTTGTAAAACATTTGTTTGGTAAGTGACCAAATCGGTCTTGTCCAAACAGCAATAAACAGTATTTGTGTGTTTTTTCCATTCATGTTTGGAAGACTAAATAACTTATGATGAGCACTCTACCCACCAGTGAGTTGATTCTAACTTTTAGTACTATAAATTTAAACCAATCTTGGAAAATGTCACGCCATTGCCAGCTTTTGAGTTTTGGTGTGTTTGTGAAACCTCAACACCTTAGACACCACCTGCATTAAAATAGAAAAAGATGTGTAAGACGAAAATGTCAGTGTATGATCTTTCAATTATAGAATTATAAGAATTGCGTTGATTCTCTAACTCACATTTTGATTGCCGTTTTGCTGTTCCTATTACCATTTGCAAAGTATATGCGGCTGCATATTTTAAATGTTGAATGGTAACTCTGTGAGCTGAGAATAATTTTGTGAGTATACAGAACTGCTTTTGGATTTCCAGGAACTTCCTTAAAACCAGCTTCGTAAATTATGTGCAATATTATTTTGTGTTTAGGAATTTTTGAAATTGTATCCACGGGAAGAAATTCCTCTCGCACCTGATCCCAAAATACCACCAAAACTCCCCCCAGTGGCATATAACCCGTGGACTGATCTAAGAAAAAGAGATGATGTGCAGGCACTAAATTTAAGTTTTCCATATGGACCCATTCCCAATGACTTTCAGGTTTGTATATTTTCATTTTTGAAAGGGGAAAGCAGCTGTCTTTACACACTCTGAAGTAAATGACTCACTTTTAAGATTTCAAAATTTTAGCAGAGAATTGAGAATTGCTTGCAAATTTCAACAGTCAATATTGTGTCCCTTTCCTTGTTTTCTACCTCTGAGTATACTGAATTTCGTTCTCTATAGCTGGATACGACTCCAGCTTTTCCCTAATATTTTAAATTGACGTGTATTGTGCAATTCTAATTCATAAAGAAGGTTCAAATTGTGAGGAAAAAATACCAGGTAATTTTTTAATATAAAAATCCACTTGTGGCTTATACTTGCAGATTATACTTTAGATTGATGCATCTCTGTTCAAAGATCACCTTATCTTGAAATAGAGAGACACCATATGAGGACATATCGGCTCCATTGCATGTAGGAAAAGTAAACCTGTGATAGACTGGGACATTTTGGAACTATTCACTGCCAGTTCTGGCGATTTACATTCTCTTCAGCTCTAAAACCGAAAAGCTCCCCTTTTGCTTGACAAAGTGGAATTCTCCTGCCCACTTCAATTCAATGGCATTTGTAAATAACCAAGTCATAATAATCATCATCCTTGCATTTGATTTAGCTCCTTATCAAGTCTTGAGATGTCTGTAAGTGCTTTGCAGAATGTATTGTAAAGTGACTGTATATTTTGTGGGCGAAACGTGGCAGCCAAGTGCGCGCAACAATTAATGAATTAAGTGTCCTAAACCAAGGTTCAGATGTGTTATCTTAATCTAAAGAATTAGTTTGGATATTAAGATTTAACTGCTCACCTACCTTGATCCTAATAATCCTTTTATAGCAGGAATTATTAGGATCAGTGTAGTGTGTGAGTAGTTAAAACTTAACACCTTTGATCCTAGTAATCCTCACTTTTGAGATACCAACAAGATTTCTGTACTGAACAGCCCAATGTATCTTTCAAAATCTGGGCTGTGAAAAAAACAACCTTGAAATCACAAGGTATGTTTAGATAGGAAGGTTAACAGCTTGTGTTGTTCATCTAATCTCTCGCATCTCATAGGTACTTATTCGCCAAAGCTACTTCGCTGCTGTCACCTACATCGATGTGCAAATTGGCAAACTACTCTCTGCTCTGGATGAACTGGGTTTAGCAAATGATACAATTGTCGTGTTTACTTCTGACCATGGTATGTATATATTTACAATTGCACTGTGTTTACAAGTAGGCTTCGCATAGGTTAAAATGTTTCTTCATATTTATACGACAGAGATCAAATGTTAGCCATCACTGTCTTAAACATATTTTAGGTTGAAGCTGATATGCAGTTCATTTTGGGAGGATAAATCGAATTCACTCAATAATCCTGCTTCAGTAGAGCTTCTTTCACATATAACGAGCTGAATTGCTCATTTTCTAGATATTGGCTGCTGTGGCACATCACCTATCGGTTTTTATTTGGATTGTAAAGTAGCAGCTTATATGGAGACCTTGTGCTGTTTATATCTGTATTGATTGAGGTGGCATACAACATTAATGTACATAAGGTCCCTTTTCTAAACTGGGTTTATCTAAAAGGTTGGCCAAGAACCTATAGACTTGTGCTGACCGGCTCAATGGCCTATGATCCATCCAGATACATTTTTGAACATCTATAATGACTGTTACCGTAGCAAATTTGAACCCAAACATAAACCCTCAGTTGGAAGAGGACAACCTATCGTGATTATAATCAATGCATTTCTGCTCTTTGCTTGCTGTGGATTCATTGCCATATTCACACTCTGATCGATGCAAAATTGTTTGCAGAGATTGTGAAGTCAATTTTCCCTTTTTTTGTTTTGTTCTTTAGGTTGGTCACTGGGAGAACATGGAGAATGGGCTAAATACAGCAACTTTGATGTAGCCACCCGTGTACCTTTGCTGTTCTATGTGCCAGGCTTGACTTCTCCCTTTGCTCTTCCCGGAGAGAGGATATTTCCATTTATTAATCCCTTTGATAGCAGAGAATGGAAGCCATCTGGAGGTAGGTTACCATGTTTTACCTTAAGGCAGAAACACAAGTATTTCTACCTGGTTTTTAAAAGATGCCACAAAGGTGCAAAAAGTTCAAAAAGCAATTCCAATTTACTGCAACTTTTATCATGTAACGGATTAACTTATTGCATGGTTTCTTTGCAGAATTAACACGTGAAGATAATGTGGAATTAATGGATCTGTTCCCAACCCTCTGCGAGGTAGTCGGGTTCTCTCTTCCACCAATCTGTCCTGAAACGTCTTTTGACGTTGAGCTGTGCACCGAGGGGCAAAGTATTGCCTACTATTTAAACTACAGCGTGTTGTATGTTGATCATGAAGCAGTTGCCTACAGCCAATACCCACGTCCTGCGGATACACCTCAGTGGAACTCTGACCTCCCTGACCTGAAGGACATTCAAGTCATGGGATACTCTATCCGTTCTGATGACTACAGGTACACAGTGTGGGTTAGGTATAATCCATCCACCTTTACTGCTAACCTCAGTGATATTCATGCAGGTGAACTGTATCTTTACAAACTTGATCCAGATCAGGATCATAACTTGTATTACGATGCTCAGTATGCTGATGTTGTCAGAACATTTTCAACTTTTCTCAAACCTTGATTGTTTCATTTTCACGAGAATTTAAGACAGGATGATTTGCACTGATTTTAAGGTCACTAATTCATTTAAGACTGATGTAATACAGAGATGTAGGGATGCCTAACCTTTGTCCATTTCTTTTTGTTAAAAAAAAAGGAACTGAGGTAAGCCTTAAGCATGGGTTTCTACATGTGTCAGTCACTGCTAACCCCCGAAACATGTTGCTGGTTTTTGTATGTGTAATTATTAACTAGCTGTAATGCGACTAATCTATACCATTTCTAAATGGACTTTTGATTTCACTTTATGGTTTCGGACTCAACTAACTGGAACCTTTTAAATCTCAGCTGATGTTCAGACAAATTATCAGACTGCACAAAAAGACTAATCTTAGCTTTCAGTCTGACCCCTGCTGGAGAATGAAAAAAGTAAACGCTAAATAATGAATTGAAATCCCAAACTCTGTTCGTCCAGCACCTTGGGACGTCCTCCCGACATGAAAGGCGCAATACAAATGTCATTCTGTTGTTGTTGTTAAATAACAAATTGTATGTAGTGTATAGTTCTTTTAAAATTGAAAAATGTTGCATTTCTTTTAAAATGTTTTGTCTTAATTTTAGGTTGCAAACATTTGAAACGATTAAGTATATATTTTCTGCAGTTTGTTAAATAAACCCGAGAACATCTGGTGTCAGAGGGCTATTGTATTAATTTTTGCTATCACAAGGTAGAGTTTATTTTTACTGTTGCAAATGGCGAGGGCCCAGAATGAAAAGAAAATAGCAAAAAACTCATTGTACCTCATCTGATCAAAGGTTTGTTGTGCAGCTTTCACACACATTGAGAAAGGCAACATCTGCTCAATTGATAAGTGAGCAAATATACAAAGGACCCATTGTTCACATAGTCCAGCTTTCCATGGTATGTGTCTTCCTCCTGTCTACCGTTCATCATGGCTTTTAGGGGCAAAAGTTTGTCAGTTCTGTACAGCTCTACGTTAACATTAATCAATTTACCATGCTCCTAATGTAAATAAAAGTTTACTCATGCCATTTCCATTTCATTCCTCATTGTATATTCAAAGATGCAAATAAATACTGTCCCTCCATACTCATCTTTGCTATATTAAAATCAAGCTTCATAGCACTGCTTATTACTCTTAAGTTCAACACCTCTCTCAAGTCCAAGTCCACAAAGCTGTTGAATTCCTTATCTTCCCTTCCTTCTGAAATCTCCAGGCTTCTAAACCTGACTCTTAATTCTTGATAATCTATTTGTCTTCCTTCTTTCTATTTTCCTGCACTAAATGTCTTAACTTCTGCCTTCTGTTTCTTTAGATAAATGAAAATTTATACACAGCTTAAATTTGAGTTGCATTTCCTATCGGTCATTATAGCTGAATTTAAAATTCCAACACATTAGTGAAGACACTGCTTTTTGCTCAACTTCTTAAACTATGATTCCAACTTTAAACCCAACAACTGTAAATTATGATTAGAAAATTGAGGTTAAAAGTTTATTTGAAATTTTATGCAGCATAAACAATGATTGATGATTTTTGAAGAGCTTGCATCTTCTATTTGATGGAAACTAAGTAATGCTTGATTGTAATCAGCATCTATTTACTTAGTTTGCTTACAAATTCAATCACTGGAAATATAGGGTTAGAACCTTTTACATTAAAATCCTGTGAAGTGCTTCAAATGCAAGCGTTATCATTATTAATAATAATAGGATCTGATCGTAAAATCAGTCATATAGAGCGTTCTAGTGGATAATGAATTGCTTTGCAAAGTAACATTTGCTGGTTACAATTCGCTGAGAACGTTGCAGCTTGCAGAGGTGTTATCAAAATATGATGAGGTGCATGGTTTTATTTTCCTTTTCTCACCATCTTTAATTTGGTTTCCTTTAATTGTAACAATATAGTTACTATTTGGGGATTTGGTAAAGATGACAATACTACTGCATACAAAGGACTTGTCAAAAAATATACACTGTAGATTTATAAGACTGCGTGACTGTTAAACAGATCTGCGTTGCAATGATTCCTCAACTTCATCCAGTTCATTTGCATTGCTCAAAAGGAGTTTAAAAAGTTCACCTAGAACTTTGTCTCTAAACATTTTAAATAACTTCTTCAAAAAAATAACAATAATAAATTGTTCAATTCAATCCATGACTGTTTGTGGGATGCTGCTGTGCGCAATTGGCTGCTGTGCGCAATTGGCTGCTGTGTTTCACCCACAAAATATACAGTCAATTCACTTTACAGTATATCCTGCGAAGCGCTTTGAGACTTCTCGAGACGTGATAAGGCGCTGTATCAAATGCAAGGATTATTAATAATATTTTGTTGTGTTAAACCTGTGTATCTTTTGTGCAACTCCCAGTCAGTTCTGTGAAATGCTACCAGATCTTCAGATGTGAAGGGAGCTATATAAATGTAAATTATTGCCACATATGATATTAAAACAATCCGAGATTCATTTCAATCAGCTTGGTGCCCAAACAGTTGACTGCTGAGACGTTTCACAATTAACCACTGGAGACAGTAACCCAGTTACGTCACTTGTTGAAAGTTGTACTATCCGGAAAGCCCTGATGGGGCACATTAAAATAATAACCTTTTACCTCCAGAATCAGAAGCTTTGAATCCACTTGAAAGTAGGAGATTAAAAGACTTCTGTCTGAGAGCTGCCACTTTACAGTGAATTCAGTGAATTTTAAAAGTCCATTTCTGAAATGTAGTATAATTATAGTTGCATGACTGTTAGTCCTGCGTGTAATATCTGAATACTTCTAAAGAAATTGCTTTCTGGAGATTCAATTTTGCCTGAAGCACATTTAAAGTTGAATGATGGAAGGAACAGAAACAGACCCAGACTTTGAACAAGGCTCTGATTTACCTCTCTCTGCCTGCTGTACAGACCTACCTTAGTTATTCCTGTAACTACGCATCAACGTATCTAATGTTGTGTACAAATTGTGGACTGCAACATTCGATGCCCTGACTTATTTTCCAAGCGTAGTTAACTGGACCAGATATAAATACACATGTTGAAATGGTTAGTTTGATTAATGTAACTCGATTTAAGTCTCTGGTCGACCACCAACCTATAGGGCTTGACTAATCAATAATCAGACACTCAAATGGACTTTTCTCACATTGCATTTGTTATAGCACTTCTGTTCAGAGCTCTGTTCTGCTCTCAACCAATGTATCATCATCATCATCATCCTATATCAAAAATGCAGATTGCAATTCCTAGATTTTTCTTAATCGACTATATGTGTCTCGTACTTCAAAAAGAAAACAGCTGATAATACTGCCTTCCAACGGTATGCAAAGCTCCCTCAGGGTAACTAACAAACATTAAAAATGCACCATTGAAAAAATAGTAATCGTAGAGAAATATTGGGGGGAAACGGAACAAGCAAAGACTGTTCAGGCCATAAAGTTTGCTCTTACCATAGGGGGACCATATTTTGTAAACCAAATTGGGGGACACACATAAAACAAAAAGGCACTCACCACAATTCCTGATGCTGGCAGTACTGGAGAAGTTTGTTGGATTAATGGCTGTATTTCTCTGATGCGTCTGTCCGTTTATGGATATTTTGTTCATGCTCAGTTTGTTGCTGAACTCAAGATGCCAAATTTAGCTGCTGACATGATGCTTTATCAGTGGAATTCGGGGATGTGTGGTCATCCTATCCTACCACAGAGAATGCATATTTCTTATCTTGGATTCCTTTACATCTATTCAGCCTTTTGGGAGAATGTTCTACCACATTATTACCTCATGCCCCAAGATAATGGATATCTCTATTATGTTTGTTGTTCATACACATTACTTTATATTTACATTAGGATCTACATTTTAATACGTAATCCATCTACTTAACTGTTCCAAATCTTCTTGAATTGTATTTATCTTTTTTTTAACATCAATCATGTCGTCACCTAGGTAGGTTAGAGTCATCCCCAAAAGACTCTTGTCCAATTTACTCAAAATAGTGTGATCGTCGATACTAAAATAATAATTCTTACATTTGTTATAGCATCTTATCATGTCATTGAAACATCTCAAAGAGCACTTCAGTGGATTTTATAGTAGAGTGACATGACTGTATTTTATAGGTGAATGAAACAGCCAATTTGTGCACAGCAATGTCCTTCAAACAACCATGAAGTGAATGGCCAATTTTATCCAGGGGACTATTGGCTCAGACAATTGTTGGACAACAAGCATGAGGGCCAGAACAAACCTTTGTAGAGTTCCTCCTCCCCCCCCCACAAGTAAAGCTTTAACCAATATCAGCACAATGAACAAGTATAGACATATCCCTCCCTATAGACTGCAAGGTTCAAGTTCATAGCCACCAGTAGATTGGGGAGGATTAGACGCTTACTCTCCAGGAGACTGTCAGGGATCAGACACACATCACAAAACTGTCAAGGATCAAGTGCATACTTAGCACTTGCCTGCCAGGGATTAGCCTTCTACTAACCACTACCCTGCCAGAAATTGGATGCATAACAACAACTAAACTCCTAATGATAGGGCACTCGGGTGACAGAGAATGCTCCAGATCATCTCATTCCCCCATCCACCCCCGCCAGCCACCCCACCACGAGACTGCCAGCGATTTAGATTTCTAAACAGACAGGAAACTAACATGTTCCTTTGAGCTGCTCCTCTTTGGTCGACTTGGGCGACCTCGCGACTCGATTCACTGTCAATCAGCAATTGAGCTCCCCCAGCCATCTGATCTTTGCTGTCTCAAATTCCAGCAGATGAATGAGAAGATTTGTCAACCTAAAAGAAAACACACTAAATAAAACATAACTTGAAATCCCCTTTCAGAAACAGTGAATGTTAAAATATCACTAGATGTTCTTCGGTGCATATTATTTCTGATCAGGAGTGAGAGAGAGTTGCCGATTTGAATGAACTATGTCAGGAAACATCGCATCTTTTAAAGTTTAGATCACAGTTGCATTCACTCTTTGCAGCTGCAGTACTAATGCTCTACCAGCAGATGATGATATTGCATTAAATAGAATGAAATGTTAAGACAGTTGTCTGTCTAAGTCTATGGTTGATTTCAGACTTCTGAAATAATAATAACAATCATAATCCTTGCATTTGATATAGCGCCTTATCACGGTCTTTGAGATGTCTCAAAACGCTTCACAAAATATACTGTAAAGCAAATTGACCGTATATGCTTGTGGGCGAAACGCGGCAGCCAATTGCACACAGCAGGGTCCCACAGAAATGGTTCCTCAACCCCAAATAATGTTTAGAATGGGTCATTTTTTAGATACTCCTGACCATAAAACAAAGGCAAAACATTCAAAATATATTTTATATCTTGATTCTTAACTTTGTTTCACTTTGTAGATCAAATAAAAACGGATTTACCCGAAGCTGCTAATTTGCATTTGAAGGATTCTATATTAATCTATTTTACTTTTGCAAATGAATTTTGAGCGAATTACTGGTCATTCCCCAACACAGAACTAATATGCTTTTATAGGGAGAAAAATCAGTTGATATTTCCTGTAAATGATATGACTAGATTAAATAATAGTAAATGTCACCAGCATTAGCAACGTGCACTTTCAGACACTTCTCTTTGTGTTTTGGTCATTCATTTTTTAGATGAATAGAGAATTATGACT